TTTGAACACGAGAACCACTGAGCACTTGAACCCAGTGATTTGACGATTGTCCTAAATTATCCTGATTACTGAACACTTGAATCCAGTAGGCAGGTGCTTATATGGTGTAAATTTGGTACTTGAACCAACTCTACAAGCTATTAGAACGAACAAGAAAGAATCGATAACGAATGTGGCTTCGCATCAATTGAATTGTCAAAAATTCAATTGTGCCTTTTATTTAAAATTGATAATTAATTTACAACAAATAAATTAACTAAAATAACCTTGACCATGCATGCCAAACAATGAACTTATTGCAAACTGCAAGAGTGCATTTTCTTGCAGACGAAATTTGACGCTTTTGTTTTCATGTGTCAACAGAAGCGTATGACGTATTTTGGGCATTGCATTGACAACGTTATTTTTTACACCAAATATATTTAACACAATTATTACAATACAAATAAAAATAACAAATTATTCATACAAAATTAATGACAACAAAATATTCATGTATAATAATATAACATAATATAAACAAATATTCAACATTCTCCCCCGCGTTGAACAACCGTTCAACAATATGAGCCTCTAGCTGTCAGGTAGTCAGTCCGACTATATGTTGATAACGAATTCTCGTGACTGTCGACGTGGCATGGGAATAGGTGTCGTGCGGGTGGCTTCTTCAACGGATGGAATTTCAACATGTTTTTTCTGCAATTTCTTCTTCATCATGATTATGATTAATATCAGCCCTATAACGAGTGCAGCGTAAGCTATGGTGAAGCTGTGGTACTTGTGTGACTGAAATTGATTTGGAAGATCATTTATCTGGTATGACTGCAACACCTTCTGCAATACTGTGAGTTCTTTAAGCTGTTGATCGTATTGGTTGTTCGTACCGTTGACAGTGTACTGTTGCCGCTGTAAACATCTGATGTCTTCATAGGGGGTTGTAGCCTTAATTCGGAGATGGTACCAAGACTACTGTATGAATAACTTGACGTGCTTGCAATTATTTGTTGTCCTTGCACAGAAACAAAGCTGTGTTTAAGCACGCAGTCTGGATCGATCGTCAATAAACCTCAACCTTTTAGATTTAGTGGTATGATTTCCTTATTACAAACTGCAGTTGCTCGTGAAGATGTTGATGTCGCATAAATCCATTGATTTTTGTGATTCAATGGAATCCAGGTCAGCTTGTTGATAGTGTGTTTCAACCGACAATTTGGTATTGTGTTGTTGTTGAATAGGTTGACCTCACACGCACATACTTCGGAACCAAAATTGTATCGTATGCGGACGTTGGTGCAAAGAAATTCCTCTTCCTTAATGGTCTCACAAAGACTTAAATCGGATTTTATAAGAGGAAAATATTGATCATGCTGCGTATTAATAGCCAAAATAGAACTGCAGGAGTCAATTACCGTCATGGAGTCATTTACCCAGTTCGGGATTGGAATTAGCTAAAACAATTCAAATCGTTCATGTTCAATCAAGGGTAGTGTTATACTAAAAACTGCATGCTGCTGTGTGATTCCACCTTTAACCTTCATTAGTCTGTAAAGGAATATTAACTCATCTTCTGGCATCGGTAATTCTAATGATGGTGATAAATGAAGTTTGATTTGATTAACTTCCTTTTGTAATTGTGTTGATGTCAATAACAATGGATTCACTTTTCCATGATGAGTATCAGTTAGAGCATCTATAATAGCAGATTGTATCTTCTGTAGATTATATGCTACCAGTGTTAATTGAATGGCTCCTGCATTGAAAACTTGATTGAGCCGTAATTGATTTACGTCTCTATTTGTATCTTTTATTGAATTTTTCAATGCCTTTATTTCATTGTCAATGTGGTCAAAACCTTCTTGAACTGCTATTTTATCTTTCTTCATTATGTTGATTGTTGAATCGACAACTGATGTCTGATTCTTAAATAGCGTCAATAATTGTATTTCATTTTGTTTCACTTCTGTAATTATATTTGACATTCCTTTGGCATATTCTGAATCTAATACTCCAAACAGTGAATGTGCAATATTGCCTACAAGGTCAATTGCTCCTCTTTTGAAGCGATGATCATGAAGTAATTTATCATCGAGTTGTAGTTCGGATTCAATATGTTTAAAGTGATTAACTGTATTCGCACATGATGCGTTTGGTTTCATTTGTTGACAAGCTTGATGTAGCGACATTATTCCTGTGTTTAGAGCTGCTGCTTCCGTCCAATAAAGACTTAAATCATAATAAACTAGTAGATTCCATTCAGTGGTTGATATGGCAGTTGTGCCCAGATTTTCAAAGTGAATACCCAATTTTGTGCCAAACCTTTTATTGTCAATTGGAGATCCTATTACTATTGGCAATATCAGTAATAGTGTAAGTAATACAGAACAGTACAAATTGGTCGGCAGTTTTCTACGTTTTGTCTTGGGCTCTTCATACGACTCTTTTCTATCTTTCATAATTAACTTGTCAGGAGGTACTTCGTAATCAGCTTCAACCATTGTTGGTTGATCATCTGTATTTACAGGCAATATAGTTAATCGATGAATTGGCCGTTTAAAAATGCCTGCCGATGTTTTAACATCAGCTACTCGGATATGTCCATCTGTACCCTTGTACACATGTACAATTCGTCCCAAGGGCCGCTGCATCACTGGGACGTTATCTTCTTTGATTATAACCACGTCTCCTAACTGTATGTTGGCAGATTGTGTTTTCCATTTGTTACGTTGTTGCAGTTCCATTAAATATTCGTTAGACCAGCGTTTCCAGAAATTATGTTTTAACTGGGAAACTAGGTTCCAACGTGACAATAACGTGTGTTTTTCTGGTTTCGATCGGCTGTCTACATGAGTTGTAAGAGCTTCTCCAATTAAGTGTCCTGGAGTTAATGCTGTCAAATCAGTTGGATCATTGGACATTGGAGTCAATGGTCGTGAATTTAATATCGCTTCAATTTCCACCACTACTGTTTCGAGTTCTTCATACGTCAATGATGCTGTTGAAACGCTGCGTAGTAACAAATATTTTGCGGACTTTACGGATGCTTCCCATAAACCGCCAAAGTGTGGAGCCCATGGTGGAATAAAATGAAAATTTATTCCTGTGGTACCGCAGGCAGAGATTATTGCTTCTTGTCCTTCATTAGAATAAATGCTTTCTTCTAATTCTGCTAACTGATTTTTGGCGCCTACGAAGTTTGTTGCGTTATCACTGTAAATATTCAAACAACGCCCTCGTCGACTTATAAATCGTTTTAATGCTCCAATGAAAGCATTTGTTGATAAGTCGGTCACTAACTCGAGATGTACCGCCTTTGTAGAAAAGCAACAAAAGAAAGCCTTTGTTGGCTTTTTGCCTCTCACCTTGTAGTGGATCCAAAATGGTCCGCAATAATCTACACCAGCATTAATGAGAGGTCTTGCAGGAGTTATTCTTGATTCTGGTAAATTGCCCATAATTTGTTGGCATAATTGCGGACGTGCTTTGTTGCAACGAATGCATCGCTGAACCGTTGCTCGGGCTGTTGATTTACCTTTAATCGGCCAAAAACGTTGTCGGACTGTACTCAATAGTGCCTGCGGGCCACAGTGTTTGTTTTCTTCATGGAACATCACGAATAATAATTTTGCCAATGGATCATTGTATGGGATCAGCATTGGGTGTTTAGAATCGTATGGTAATGATGAGGCTTCTAAGCGTCCTCCTACTCTAAGAACATTTGCATTATCAATGAATGGAGATAAACTACTGATTGAACTAGATTTATCAACATGACCTTGTTTCTTCAGTTGTTTGATTTCTTCATGAAAATCATTACCCTGAATGTGAAATATTATAGTTATTAATGCTGCATCCAATTCGTTGGCACTAAGTACTATATGTGTGGCACGTGACTCCTTTGATTTTCTTGCGTTGTTAGTGAATCTAAGAACATATGCTACTATCTTTTGTAATTTCTTAAATGAATTCTTGTGCTGAATCCTGTATATGAAATCTGCATCATTGCTTTGAGTTGCTACAGCTACAACCTTCTTCTTCTCCAGATCGACTGGAACTTGTAATGATGATGAAAACCTTGGTGGCCATACTTCCTGTCTTCCATGCAAAAAGAACGGTCCTTGAAACCAAAGTGCACATGTTGACAACGCCCTTGCTGAAAGTCCTCTTGATAACACATCAGCTGGGTTGTCCTTTGACCTAACATGTCGCCACTGTTCAGACAGAGTTAAAGTTTGAATTCTTGCTACCCTGTTAGCTACAAATGTTTGAAATGATGAGGACTGTGAGTTGATCCAAGACAACACAATTTCTGAATCAGTCCACAAAAATACCGGCTGGTCCTTCTCTTGAAGATCGCTTTTCACTCTTGCTGAGAGTTCCGCCGTTAAGACTGCCGCACATAGCTCTAGTCGCGGTAGCGTTTGTTTTTTGAGTGGAGCTACTCTTGACTTTGCACATAATAGTCGCACTATTATTCTACCATCCTTTAAAATTGCTCTGACATATGCTGCAGCGCCAAATGCCTTTTCAGATGCGTCAGCAAAAATATGTAGCTGTGTTGATGATGGAACCTCGCCTCTGAAGATATGTCTTGCCACTTGAAGATTTTCAAGAGTACTTAAGTTTTCTCTAAATGTTGACCATGTTGTACGAAGATCTGAAGGAAGTGGTTCATCCCAAGATAATTTCAACTGCCATAAGTGTTGTATGAAAATCTTTGCTTTGACTATTACTGGAGCTAATAAACCAAGTGGGTCGAACAGTCTAGCTAAATCAGAACTAACAACTCTCTTCGTGATTATTCCTTCAGTAACCATTTTGACCTTAATTCCAAATAAATCCGCCTTGGGCAACCAAAATAATCCCAGCGTTTTGATTGACTCGTTATTATCGAAATCTAGATTTACCTCTTGATCATCTTGAGAAATGTTTTTCAACAGTTGAGAATGATTTGCGCTCCATTTCCGAAGACAAAACTGATGCTTCTTTAAAATATGGATTAATTACCTTTGAGCTTCAATAGCCGTAATTAAACTATCTGATCCACCGAGCCCATCGTCAACGTAAAAATTGTCACACAGGATTTGAGCTCCCAATGGATAATTCACCTTGTTTTCTGATGCTATCTTTTGCAGACACCTTGTTGCTAGGTAAGGAGCTGCTCGAGTCCCATATGTAATTGTGTTTAGCTGATAATAACGAATCGTTGAATTTGGACTGCTTCTCCAAATGATAAGTTGATAGCGTCGATCTTCAGGATTTATCAGAACTTGACGATACATTTTTTCGATATCTGTGGTAAAAACAAACCGTGGTCGCCTAAAACGGAGCAGAATTGAAAAGAGTTCACTTTGAACTGTCGGTCCGTTATACATTAAATCATTCAACGAGTGTCCAGATGTAGTTTTGGCGGATGCGTCAAACACCACTCGAAGTTTAGTAGTTGTACTATCTGGTTTTAGTACACAATGATGAGGAATGAAATATCTTGGAGTCAACATGGAATCCAAGTTTACTTCAGTCATGTGACCCAATCGCTCATACTCTTCCATAAACTGCACATATTGTTTCCGCAAAACATCATTTTTTGCTAGTCGTCGTTCAAGACTGATGAACCTTCTCCAGGCTGTTTCTTGAGATTCCCCTAACGTCAATGAGTTTTCCAGAAACGGCAACCTTACCACAAAACGTCCTTCTTTATTTGTATGGACGTTCTGCACAAAATGAGATTCGCATAATTTTTCTTTTTTGGATAATGTCCTTTCTGGTGTATTCACCTCATCCATTCGCCATAATCGTTCAATTGCATCTTCTAACGATGAGTTATTATCAACAACCTCCGCCCCACCGCCAAAAACTGCACATAAAACGTTTGATTTGTCTGTATTTGATGCAACCTTGCCACTGACAATCCAGCCAAGTGTAGAATTTTGCAAGACTGGAAGCCCAGGAGCAAGCGTTAATTTACCTTTCTTTAACAGACTAAAATAGAACTCCGCACCGAGTAAAATATCAATTTTCCCTTGTTGGAAAAATGTTGGATCTGCTAACTGAATGGTGTTCGGGACCTTCCATTTGGAAATATCGTAGCTGCAACTTGGTTGAGGTGGAACTATATTTGGAAGCACAAACGCTTCGACTTCTGTAGTAAACCTTGAGTTAAGTGATTGCAATTTGATGTTAACTCGCTGCGTTGAATTTTTTTGCACCTTTCCTATACCTTCTATGCACAATAACGATTTTGTTTTTGATATATTGAGCCTTTTGACAAGACGCTCAGAGACTATGTTCACTTGCGAACCAGAGTCTAGTAATGCTCGGACTTCACTTGTATTTCCATTCGATGCAGTTATTTTGACTCTTGCAGTTGGCAAGAGAACATAATCACGATGACCTGTGGATGTGTTTGCTGTCGCTGTGGTAACTGCGGTGTTGTACCCACTTGAGCTAGGTTGAATGTTCTGTTTTGTTTGGTTGTTAAGTTCCAAATGTAGCAACGTGTTATGCTTTTTATTACATTTGGTACAACTTCTTGATGAACATTTGTTCACCACATGATCATTTCTGAAACAGTTAAAACAGAGCTGTTAATTTTTCACCCAATCCAATCGTTGAGATGGTGAAAATTGCAAAAATTTACGGCAATGATACAGTGGGTGCCTGTCTACATTGCACAGTTTGCAATTGTTGTTTCCTTTAGAAACTGTTACAGCCGATGACACTGAGTTATTTCGATTTGCTTTAATTTTTATAGCCACCTTATCTTTTTGTTCTACAACTTCCATCAGTTGGAACTGTAGTTCTAAAAAGGCTAAAAACTCCTGAATGTTTTGTATCTCTTTTGGTTTTGCCAGAGATTGCTCATATCTAATGAGCATCGCCCGATCGAGTTTTTTAATTAGTACCTGTAACAAAATTGGGTCCCAAAATGTCGTTTGAACGCCAAGATTGTTTAGTGCTAATAGACACTCTTTCGTTGTGTCATGTAAATTTTTAACTGCTGCTACAGTTGATGTGCCTGATGGCTGATTTAGAAGTTCATCGATTAATGTGGACGCCAAGACCCTTTTATTATTATAACGGTCTTGCAGTAATGTCCAAGCTGCCAAATAATTGTCCTCCGTTATGCTGAAATGACTTATTAATTTTTCAGCTTCACCTGTCACATGTGATTTCAAGTACCACATTTTTTGAGCAGCTGGTAGTGGCTGATTGTCTACCATTTATGTAAACAAGTCAAAAAATTGCCTCCATTTTAAGTAATTTCCATTAAAACTTGGGATTGTTACCTTTGGCAATGGCAGTGAGGACCGCATGTTTGGTTCTGCTACTGTTGTTTGTTTCTGTTGTAATTGATCCAATTTTATGGACAACTCTATCAAACATTGTTGTACCAAATCTTCAATTTGGTAATACTCATCTTGATTGAATCCTGACATCAGTGGATTTTCAAAGTTTTCCCAGATTTCATCATGCAAACATTCCAATTGGTTTCAATGTTGCATGATTGTGTTTGATTTAATTTCGTAATATTGAAGTGGTTGTATGCCTTCGCTCTCTGACAAACTCTCTACTAATCTTCTTAGAGCTGCCATTCGAGCAGATATTTTTCTTATCAAACCATTTGTCGTAACCACTAGTAACGGCTGTGATGCCTCTTGGTTACTAGCAGCTTCACCAAAGTTGTCTGCTGCTTTGATCCGAAGGGCTTCTGTCTTGAATATTTCACTGTATTCATTTGTTAGTTCTCTTATTTTCTCGTAATAGGAAGATGTAAAATACTCATCATCTGTCGGTTGATCGATGAGAGTTCTGAGCATTGTGTCCGTTTGTTCAAACTGCTTCCAAGCAACATCAAGCCGACGAAATCTTTCACTGTAGTATGCTGATGTTTGCTTGCGTTCAGCCGAATCCTTTTTGAAGTTCCTGATGATTCGCTGAATCTCTTCGCCCTTTTCTTTTTGGGCATCTATGAGTTCATTAAGAGTTGTCATTGATGATTTGTAGTTTTTTGTCAAATGTGCTTAAGAATGTTCTTCGAATGCTGAATGCTGAAACTTAACCGCTGACTGTTGATTGTTGACTGTTGCTGCGTCAAACCAGTCCTGTGCTGCTGTCCGTTTCACGGGGTCACCAAATTGTACGATCACACCAAAATGTATGATCACACGCTGAATCAAAAGTTGAAATCAACTGTTTGCAAGTATTGAACTCTTAAATCCAGTACTTATGTTGACTTATTTGAACACGAGAACCACTGAGCACTTGAACCCAGTGATTTGACGATTGTCCTAAATTATCCTGATTACTGAACACTTGAATCCAGTAGGCAGGTGCTTATATGGTGTAAATTTGGTACTTGAACCAACTCTACAAGCTATTAGAACGAACAAGAAAGAATCGATAACGAATGTGGCTTCGCATCAATTGAATTGTCAAAAATTCAATTGTGCCTTTTATTTAAAATTGATAATTAATTTACAACAAATAAATTAACTAAAATAACCTTGACCATGCATGCCAAACAATGAACTTATTGCAAACTGCAAGAGTGCATTTTCTTGCAGACGAAATTTGACGCTTTTGTTTTCATGTGTCAACAGAAGCGTATGACGTATTTTGGGCATTGCATTGACAACGTTATTTTTTACACCAAATATATTTAACACAATTATTACAATACAAATAAAAATAACAAATTATTCATACAAAATTAATGACAACAAAATATTCATGTATAATAATATAACATAATATAAACAAATATTCAATAGAGTGCGCTGTGGGAATCATCCAAAGTCCATACTCTGTATGCAGAATGGATAGATGCCGAACATAATCGTTATGCTAATATTGCCACAATGCGATTTTTGGAAGTAACTGAGGACGAAGTACGAGAAACCATTGTAAAATCTAGTAATTGGAAGGCTTGGATAAAGTACAGAATTTCTGGTACAAACAGTTTCGCTGTGTCCATAACCAACTTGCAAGGCTTATAACAAATCTAATAAAAAGGCCGGAGAATTTTCCATCTTTTCTTACCGCTGGTGTAACATATCTTATTCCAAAAAAGGAAAGCGTTGACTGTCCAGCGCAAACAAGGGCTATCACTTGCTTGCCGACTCTTTATAAATTCATAACGTCGATGATTAGCAAAAGGATATATGCGCACTTAGAGGTTAATGATATCTTGGCCGAAGAACAAAAAGGCTGTCGTAGTAGTTTAAAGGGATGAAAAGAACAACTGATAATCGATACGATAGCAGTAGGACAAGCAGTAAGAGCAAAAAGAAACAAAAAGTTGCTTTATTGATTATGCTAAGGCATTCGATAGTGTCCCACATTCTTGGCTGATCAATGTCTTACGCCTATACCCCATAGATCCTGAGTTAATCAAACTTTTGACGGTAGTCATGGAAGGGTGGAGTACCATATTATCGGTACCTACGGCTGATGGCGTTAAGTTATCAGACGTCATACAAATAAGAAGAGGTATTTTTCAAGGAGACTCGCTAAGTCCTCTTTGGTTTTGTATGGCATTAAACCATCTCTCATGGTTATTAAAAAATGCTAAGGGACATGGCTTTGCCATTAAATATGGAGTGCTGAATAACAAGTGTGAGTTGAGTCATTTAATGTATCTAGATGACATTAAATTATACGCTGGAACTGATGACCATCTTAAAAGTTTATTGCGGCGTACGGATATGTTTAGTAAAGATATTCAGATGGAATTTGGGTTGGACAAATACCGAATCCGAGTCATCCGAAGAGGTGTTCATGAGTCGCATGAAGGACATAGCTTTGAGAATATGCATATTCAAGCGATGGCTGAAACAGATTTTTATAAGTACTTAGGTACATATATTGCAAGGTGCACACGTAAAAGAGAGCGATTTAAAAAACAATTTAATGAATGAGTTTATCTATAGAGTGAAATTGGTACTAAAATCTTTACTGTCCGGAAAAAATAAAGTAAGTGCAATTAATACATATGCCACACCATTCCTCCTGTACTCTTTTGGTATATTAAAGTGGTCGGACACGGAATTGAAAGCAATCCAACGCAAAATCAGAACTTTAATGTGCGACTTTCGCATGCGTCATCCAAAATATGCTGTGGAAAGGATATGTCTACCGAGAAGTATTGGTGATAGAGGAGTGCTCGATATAACAAGACTATATTACGAACAAGTCGACTCACTACGCACTTATTTTATTGCCAAAGAGCTCAGTTCTCCTTTACAAAAGGCTATCTGTGGTGCAGATAGTAGATTGAGTCACTTGATCTAAAGAAAAGAGTATTCTCTCCTTTAGATTCGGTGATAGATTCAGATTTAGATTCAGCAAAAAATTGATGAATGGAAATCTAAGGCCCTTCACGGAAAACAAGTGAATTACCTTTGGTAGCCATTTATTGACTTGCATTTGTCCAACAAATGGCTCTGTGTAGGGGATCTATTTAGTGAAACTGAAGGATTTGTGTGCGCGATACAGGATGGCGTGGTCCCTACTCGTAATTATCGCAAACATATTCTTAAAGAGCGAGTTGAGGATGACTTGTGTCGGAAATGTGGTTCAGTCCCGGAAACATTGGATCACATTATCTCCAGCTTTTCTGTAATGGCACCAAGGGAATATCTAAACAGGCACAATGCAGTATGTAAGGTAATCCACCAAAATCTTGCATTCAAACATGGATTGATCTCTAAAACTTGTCCAATTTACCAATATAAACCCACTGCGGTATTAGAAAACACCAGTTTTCGTATGTACTGGGATCGACAAGTTTACACAGATCGACTAATAACACATAATAAGCCTGATATCCTATTGGTTGATAGAAGGAATGGTTTAGCACACCTGATTGATGTTGCTATTCCGCGTAATGGCAACATTGAGCAGAAGTATGCAGAAAAGATGAGCAACTACATACCACTGGCTAGAGAAATCAAAGAAATTTGGAGGCTTCAGCGAGTGGTTGTTGTACCAATAATACTATCAGCCACTGGTATAGTACCCAAAACTCTCACACACTCTATGGATATACTTGAACTCTCTAAACTTCTAATAAATACTATGCAGAAATGTCTTATTGCATACATGTGCAATGGTGAGGGAAACGATCAACATTCTTTAGAAGGAGCAACACAATTTTATAGGTGTAGAACATGGACTACACTTCAACAGTGCATAAATTCCTTGATGCTTGTCATCCGGAATTATGTGAATCTCAGCAATAACACCCGCTGAGATGCAAAATTCAAATAATAATAATAATAATAATAAAAATAATAACAATTAACAAAATAAATAACTTTAAATTCCTAATTCCAATGTAAGCAAGTGTGTTGGTTTTGATGCTTTGTTGTGTGTGTTGTGTTGTGTTGTGATGAATTGTGGGCTTACAATTTCAGCTTTTGTGGAACACGTTTGTAATAATAGCTGTCTCTATCAGCACTTTTTTGTTTTGTTTATATGTACACAAAACCGCACTGATATTTTGTTTGAATGCTTACTCACTTTTTTTTATTTTGAGCTTTAAAAAATAATTTGCTGTCTCTGTCAGCTATTTGAGTTTTTTTTTATTAAAATTGTGCAAAAATCAACAAAAATCGAAAAAGTGGGCGAAATTTTCACATTAATTTTTTATGCATATTTAACTTTTATTAATTGTTCAAAAATGTTCTTCTTTTTGTTTTTGTATTAATAACAAAAGTAATTCTTTTAAAAGTACTTGTTATTTACTTGTATTTATACTGCAATTTAAATTTTTTCGAGACCGGCTTAAAAACACGCCCACTCACTAGAAATGTTTTTGCGTTTTTTGACTTGGCATGTAATGACTTCTTTTTTATTCCAGCACGTCAAGAAAAAAATATATATAGCAGCCCTCGTACTATTAAATTCAAAAACTTATCAAATGTACACAATTTTGATTTCGTTACTGAAATGGTGTTTGATCGCTAACAAACATACAAACATACGTATAATGTAATACAGTGGGTTGCATGTATGATTGAATACGTATGCAGTTGGGTTTTTGTCAGCCTTACTCGACTCACATATAGGTTTGAACTGAACATTATACCAGTTGTGACTTAATCAAACATTGTTGTATGAAGTTGGGTGGATTTAGCGTAAATCCACCAGCAAAATAAAATAAGTATTTAGATTCGTTGCTTCTAGCATAAATTGTTTGTATATACAAATCCAAATATGA